AAGCTGTTATGTTTTTTCTGCACCATGCATAGCTCTGAGTTGTCCAGCCTGATGAATATCTGTATAGATTGAAAGTTTGCTTTTGCTTGTAATTGTTTGATGGTCTAATAACGCTATAATCATCATAGAATGAACATAGAATCACCGTAGGGTTGGATGGGACCTTTGAGGTCTTCTAGTCCAACCCCCTGCCCAAGGCAGGAGACTTCATACCATCCCGGACCTCATACCACCCCAGACAGATGGCTGTCCAATCTTCTCTTGAAAACTTCCAGGGATGGGGCACCCACAACATCGGGAGGCAAGCTGTTCCACGGCTTAGTGGCTCTCACCACTTCCCCCCCCCCAGCTCTTTTTCCAGTTCTCTGGCAGTTTGCCCATACTTCAGGACCTCTCAAAGATTTCATTCAGTGGTTCCAAGATCACATCTGCCAATTCTTTTAATAATCCATCCCCACACAAGCAGCAAAACCAGGGAGCTGGACAGGGGACAGATTGGATTTGTCTTCAGTGTGGAAGAGATTGCCACTCTCGAATTGGCCTCTTCAGCCACACTAGACGCTGTTCCAAGTCCTCCATACAGAGCACGTCACCATAGTCTTTCGAGACTGAAGGATGCCTAACCCCACCTTTAATCATCATCATCATCAGAGTCGGAAGGGTCCTATGGATTGAGTCCAGCCCCTGTCAAGGAGGCACATATCACAGGAAAAGGAATAGAATATACAGTTCACTATAAAACATGTCTATCACAGGAAGAGGAATACTGTAGAATATACAGTTCACTATAAAACATGTCAAACAAATTCAGATAAAACAAAAACATGTAAATACTCCCCTTTTCTCCATGACAGGCACAGTTTCATTTTGCTTAGTTTCTCTTTTGTTCAGCTGCTTTTAAAAGCATGGGAGGAGCCCAGTCAGCTGTTAACCACAGTGAGAGAAGAAGTCTTATCTGTTAGCTCACTCATCACCTTTGTCCCATTAAGTGGACTGTGTAAAAACTTTTTTGCCTGACCTTTGGAATGGAATTGCACATTTGCCACTAGCATCATCCACATAAATCATATTAACACTGACAGTACCCACTCCACCTAAAGTTTTATAATTATTGAAACAAATAAGCTGGGACTGATTAAACACATTCAACGTAAAATACCCCTGAGCTGTGTTGGACTGTAACATATATGAAGGAAAGTTGATAAAGCAACGGTCAAACTCTGTTGACGCCTTTCTTGCTACTCTTCTGAAGATAGCTGATTCCACTGTTTATCAAGTAGCAAGGAAAGATAATCTGTATATTAGGATCAGAGTGTAGTCTCATTTAGCATTACAATGTGTGGCCAAATACAATTCTACCATTCGCAAAAGATTTGGCTTCTTATGGGCAGGTTGCATAGTTACTATAATAGGAGAGATAAAAGTGTACCATTTTAATTGTTAGTCTCTCATGTTCACATACTCAGATGGAAGACTTTTGTTACGTATTTGGTATCGCACTGAAATCTAAGAAGGTTAACATGAAGTGTTAGTGGCCTCAGTTGTGAACTACCTTAAGATGATAAATTTATTTTTCTCCTGAATGAACAGCAAATTCTTGGAAAGAATTTTCCCCACGCTTGTTTCCGAATGACTCAGTCATGAAGGAAGAAAGATTAATGAACCATACTAGTCACACTATCTCTTTGTTTTAAACAATAAAGAAGAACTATAGAAAGAAAATGCCACAAAGTGATGACAAAAGAATTTCCACTAAACATCCGGGAGAGAAAATCTTACAGAAGGGAAAAGTGTCCTGGCAACTAATTTTCTGATGCAGGCAGCTGCTGATTACAGAAATCTGGCCTGTGCTACAAAAGTACTGTAATGAAAAGCTTAAACTGAACAACCTTCAGAACACGGCCAAAGAGCCCGAAAAACCCACAACAAGCAAAAGCTTAAAAAATTGTAGCTACTTACTCATAACATGATCCATTCTACAGAAAGCTGGCAACATCACAAGAGAAGTGTACATGCAGAACTTTATCAGCAGGAGCTTAGTACTTTTTGCTTAGCAACAAATGTGCCAAAACATTTTACTGCTACCTCCCTACTCTTTATTAAAGAACGGCATTTGAAATCTGCAGAGTTATCATGCAGTTCTGCTATGTTATGACTTAAAAAGGCCAGTGGAACTATTTGAGAATAAATGTCTGTAATGTTGTCTGTATGGGAAAAGAAGCCATTAAATTTGAGGCTCATAAAACTACTGATGAACAGCAGGGGTCAACACTGTGTCTAGACCAGCAGGATAAACTAGGTCATCACAAAGCATCTGACCTCAAAAAATTGCCCCTACATTTTCAGTTTACCAAATGAAAAGAAGTTATGAGTATTCCTATAAGGGATACAGTTCTTAGCCAGGAAAAATGCATAAGAGACTCAATGTGTAAAATATATTTTACACTTAAGGTGCAATCTGCTTAAGGTTTTCATAAATATAGTACATGCAGAGGACAGGGAATTTCAATTAAATTCAATTTCAATTCAGAGGATGATTTAGAACCAGAAAAACACTATTCTGCATGTACATGCACTTGGGGAGGGATGGCATAATATGAATTGATGCTTTATGGTCTGTAAGAAAGCTTTTGACAAAACCAAGTATGTCCACCTGACTGAGTGTTTTTATTCGAGAGATTTGTATAATTGGCCACCTATACTGGAAACAAAAAGCTGCAGTGAAAGTTGGGGATCAGATGACTGGACATAAAAAATATTAAGAGGTGCATATTCTCATCACTGCTTTTGGGTTCCTGCTTTGAGAAGATATTTAGAGAAGAATTTTTTGGTTAAATGAGGGGAATGATTGTCATCATATATGGAAATTATATATTACTATTACTAATTTAAGGGACGTGGTGGCGCTATGGGCTAAACCGCAGAAGCCTGTACTGCAGGGTCAGAAGACCAGCAGTTGTAAGATCGAATCCATGTGACGGAGTGAGCTCCCGTCGCTTTGTCCCAGCTCCTCGCCAACCTAGCAGTTCAAAACATGTAAATGCGAGTAGATAAATAGGTACCATCTTGGTGGGAAGGTAAAACAGCGTTCTCTAGTCACGCTGGCCACGTGACAACGGAAAGCTGTCTTCAGACAGGCGCTGGCTCTATGGCTTGAAAAGTGGGATGAGCGCCAGACACGACTGGACTGAAAATGTCAAGGGGAACCTTTACCTTTACCTAGCTGGCAATTTAAATGGTTTGCCAAGTTTATTCGATGAAGCCAATGAAATAAGCAATGAACATGGCATAAAAATGAATGTTAAAATACCAGGTTCATGGTATCTAATAAAAAGCAAGCCAAGCAAGAAATGAAGTTGAAGATCTAAAATAAAAGTTGGATCAGTTGATTAACTATGATATCTTCTTGCTCATAAAAGGTAGACTAGAGATAATGTGAAGCAGCTTCCAGAAGACAGAAAATATACAGTATTGAGCCTCGTGGCACAGTGGATAAACGGCTGTACTGCAGACAAAACTGTGTTCATGACCTGGGGTTCAATCCCAGGTGGCCGGCTCAAGGTTGACTCAGCCTTCTATCCTTCTGAGGTGGGTAAAAGGAGTAATCTAGGGTAGAAAAGTGACCAGTGAAGAAATACCAGATCCAATTAATAAACTTGCAAAAACATAAGAGACAGAACACTGGAATACTCTGGCTAAGAGAACTACTGTAAAAGGGTACAGATTGCTTCAGCTGATTCTTGGGGTTTAAAAATAAATGAGAAAAGTAGTACAAGAAGGAGAAAAAAATGACTGGAAAGCTTTAGAGGCTGACTGGTCTGGATGCAACCCACTATTGTTGGTTTAGAACTGCTGCCACATCCGAAGTCTGACAAGTCTAAGTCAGATGATGGTTCAGCCGCGGGTAGGAGAGGAAGGAGAAGAATATCGACTGTTTTTAGTATTGCTTGTGTTTGCCTTTTTTCGGAGTAGTGTTTCTTTGTTCCTTTTTAATATGTTTATCATTTTTTTCTTTAAATGTTGTCTTGCAATGATGTAAGCGCCTGGTAAAGAAAGTGACCAGTGAAGAAGTACCAGATCAAATTAATAAACTTGCAAAAACATAAGAGACGGAACACTGGAATACTCTGGCTAAGAGAACTAAAAGGGTACAGATTGCTTCAGCTGATTATTGGGGTTTAAAAATAAATGAGAAAAATAGTACAAGAAGGAGGAAAAAATGACTGGAAAGCTTTAGAGGCTGACTGGTCTGGATGCAACCCACTATTGTTGGTTTAGAACTGCTGCCACATCCGAAGTCTGACAAGTCTAAGTCAGATGATGGTTCAGCCGCGGGTAGGAGAGGAAGGAGAAGAATATCGACTGTTTTTAGTATTGCTTGTGTTTGCCTTTTTTCGGAGTAGTGTTTCTTTGTTCCTTTTTAATATGTTTATCATTTTTTTCTTTAAATGTTGTCTTGCAATGATGTAAGCGCCTTAGGTCCTTTTTTTAAGGAGCAAGGCGGGTTAAAAATATTTTCAATACATAATAAAATAAATAGTACAAAACAAGAAAAGGAACCCCCTGTTTTCCTCCCCACCGGGAGCGGGAGTTTGAAGGAGAGGCTCTTTTAAGCCCTCGGCTCTTTCGATGGGCCCTCCGGGGACCTGCCGGGGCTGGGTGAGCAGACGGTCGCCAGGATCAGGCGCCGCAAAGCATGGTGTGTTCCCGCCCCTCTCCAGCATCTCTCTCTCTATTTCCCCCCTTCGCACACGCCCGAAAAACCTTGCTGGGTTTCTCCCAGGTGGAGGAGGAGGAGGAGGAGCGAGGGGGAGGCGAGGAGGACGCGGTTGGCCCAGCCCGGCCTCGCCTGGGTGGAGTAGGAGAGGAAGAAGAATATCGGCTGTTTTTAGTATTGCTTGTGTTTGCCGTTTTTCAGAGTAGTGTTTCTTTGTTCCTTTTCAATATGTTTATCTTTTTTTTTTTCTTTAAATGTTGTCTTGCAATGAGGACCGGGGGAGCGGCGCAGGCAGGCAGGCAGGCAGCGCTGGGCTGAGCTGGACGCTGGACGCGGAGGGTGGCGGTCCGCTTCGCCGGAGGCTCCGCCGCGTCTCCTTCCCTCCCTGCTGCCATGACCGACACCTTGCTGCCTTCGGGCTGCCCGGCGCCGGAGCCGCGGGGCGACGGCTACTTCCGAAAGGTGAGAGCGGGGGAGCCCTGGGCGCTGGGCTCGGAAGGGAAGGGGAAGGGGAAGGGTTGGATTCGGCCCGCGCTCCCTGCCCCGGAGAGGCTCTCGTCCGGTGGAGACGGGCTCAGGGCTGTACTTTCGAAGTTGTGTGTGTCTTGCGTTGACTTAGAATTGCCCATAGATGATGATGATGTTGTTGTCAACAGGTGTTTCAGTTTGACTGTGGAGGAGGAATTGTTTCCTTTTCTCTGATAAAATGGATTAAACCGCTCGCCTTTTTTGGAAGACCTTTTACGAGTAGTGAGCAAAGTAAGGTCTTGGCCATGTATTTTGAGATGCAGGTTGAGTTTTATGACAAGGCGAGCCATGATTTTACCAGGAAAGGCCAATAGCGAGTGTGACAAGTAAATGAGAACAGAATGGCATCCACAGGTAAATATACTTAGATCACATCCAGGAATAATTAGTTGCTTAGGTAGGGTTGTTCTGTTGCAAATGGTGCAGTCCTGGCCTCTCCGTGTTTATCTGCGTTATTTTCCCCTTGTATTTGTTTCCAGGTTAGTGCTGCTTATTCAAAATTATTTTTTGCCCTGACGCCTACAAAATTCATAGTTTTAAATAGCAGGGCTTAATTTTGTCTGTGCGACACAAATCTGGTGCCTTGAAGTCTTCAGAATGTAGAAACTTATTATACTGTAGGATTTATTAAATCCTATTATAAAGCAAGAAGGCTGCTATTATAGCAGCTGTGTAGGTACAGCTCGACAGTAATGTACATTGTTGCATTAGGTACTCGGTACATACCTGTGACTGGTACATGTAAGTAAGAAAACAAGCATCCTGCTAAACAAATTGAGTGGTACAGGTTATTTATCCTGTTTACCCTGCTGGGTGAAAATAATATCTCTCATTCACTTCTTGCAGACTTTTACAATAAGTCCAACTGACGGGATTTCTAGAAGAAAACTCAATTTTTTAAAAAAAGGCTAAGGAGTCCATGTATGCAGTTTTCAAAGCATAGCAAGTGGCTGCTTCTGTGACTAAAAAGATTACTTTATAGAAAGGACACGTTTTAAAAAAGAACATTAAACTAACGTGTCTTCTAATCCAGTTGCAGAGGAATCTACAAAGTGTTATATGGAAGTACCTGGGCTTAAAGCTAAGCCAATGAGAGGAAACATGCATGTTAAGTGTAGACACTGTGCTTTGCATGGAGATAGTCTGGGCTCAAGATGTGGCATACCACTTAAGAAGGTTACAAAGCGAATAATTAGAAAAGACTGCAACAATGAGACTAAACAGTATAAAACTAAGTGGGCAAATAGAAGTATTCCAAAGGTACACAATACTTCTTATGAGTAAGGTTCCTGCAAGAGCCAAGCCTGTGTTGCCTTTGGGCCAGCTGGCCTTCAGAAGAAGGAAATGATACACTGCCTCTGCGTACTTTGTGACCAAAAAATCCAGAAAAAGGTTGCTCTGAGTCTGAATTGACTTAACAGTACATAATTATTGTTAAGAAGGGCTGAGTCTGGTCAGTGTTGGCTTGGGAGACCTCTTGGGAATTCTTCTAGAAGCAGTGAAGCTGTGGTCTTTCAGATGTTGTTAGACTACAGCTCCCATCATCCCTAATCACTGGTTGGAGTGGTGGGAGTTGCAGTCCACATATATCTGAAGAGCCATACGTTCACTATACCTCCTATAAACACATATGGTTCTATAGAAGAAAGGTGTGGACGATGCTCTTGCTGAAATGGAATATAGATCTCGTCTATGGCTGAGGAAAGCCCTGTACCATCTTCATCCCAGCGAGAAGACGCCCACACCAGCCACCTGATTCCACTGATGCATGATCTGAATTCTAGTGGACTATCAAAGCTTGCCTTGAAACTTGAGGCCAGTTTCGATAAAAGCAGCTACTAATGGAAGGTGCTGGCCCAGGAATTCTAAAAGAAAATGGTTCAAAAGGAAATGTGATAAGGAGTTTTAGATTAGGGCATACCTTTTTTCTGCCTGCTACGAATCTGACAAAAGAGCAGGGCAGCCCAGGTGAGTATTTCCATGTTTTGCAAAGCTCTCTGCCTCTATATTAGATTTCACAGGTGAAGTTTGGGGCACCACTAAAACTTTGCCAGCTCCTTTGTGAACAGGTTTCAGCAGGTACCTCAGCAGAGAGTTATGTGAGTGCTGCAAGAGATAGATAGATGCATACACAGATACACGCTTGATTGCACTCCCTGTCTGGCAGTGATGACTGCACTTAACGAAAGATCTGAAGTGTTATAATATGCAGATGGTGATCCATTTCCATTTCCACCAGTGGAACAATAAACATTACAGATTCCCTACACTGAAAGTACTTTTTATGTAAAGAAAGGCCTTGAGGTTTGTCCACAGATACTTGTTCTTCCCTGTTAATGGGAGGAGGAAGCCACACTTTGGGCCTCTAAGGCCATCAAGTCCAACCCTCTCACACTTTGGGCCAGTGGGTGTCTCTGAATGTAACATATGCCTGTAGTTCATAGAATTATAGAATAACGGAGTTGGGAGGGGGCCTCTAAGGCCATCAAGTCCAACCCTCCTATTCAATGCAGGAGTGTCCAAGTCAAAGCAGATCTGACAGATGGATGTCCAATTTTCTCTTGAGGCCCTCCAGCGCTGGAGCACTCGCCACCTCCTGAGGTAATTGGCTCCATTGTCTTAGTGTTCTAGCAGCTGAGAAGTTTTTCCTGACATTCAGCCTACATCTGGTTTCCTGTAGCTGGAGCCCATTATTACTTGTCCTGCTCTCTGGAATGATTAAGAACAGATCCTCTCCTTCCTCTGAATGGCAGCCTTTCGAGTATCGGAAAACTGCTATCATATCTCCCCTCAGTCCACTTTTCTCAAGGCTAAACATGTCCAGTTCTTTTAATCTTTCCTGTGTTCAATTGAAAGAGAGGGGCCCAGATTGGGAACAGCAGCTCTAGATCAAACCAGGGCTCCTTAGCAGACTTTCTTAGCTTACTGTTGAAAACAGGTAGTCTTAAAAGAATCTGAAGTTTGCCTCTTCACAAATAGAGCAGGAAACTGGCTGCCTTGTTAAAGTAATAATTTGGACAAATAATTAGCTATGTTACCTTCTTAAGTGGTATGCCACAGCTTAAATCCAGGATTATTTTCATGCCACACCTGCTCTACACTTACGTCCAGGTACAAAGATGTTTTATTTAAGAATTTTGTGTTTTGCTTGCATTTTTAAAAAAGCGATCAGGTTTTCTTTTCAAAATCCAAGCTTTTTGTTTAAGTAAAACTTTTATTAGGCCAACTCTCATGCTCCCTAAAGAAGGAAAGGGCACAAAATTGTGCACAAGCCGCAAGGTTTCTCTGTTGCAAAAAGCTGTAAAATGGAGGGGGTTGTTGAAAGGGCGGAGAGAGAAAAGCTAAGCCAGACTAGATCCTGAATTCTTCCCAATATTCTTTGTACTTTCACTACAGAAAGTACATGTGAGCAACAGATGGTTTGAGACTTGGTACAACCGTTTTAAAGCTGTTTTAATATGTTTTTCAGGTGGTGGTAAATAAAGGCAAGAAGTGAAACAAGGGGCGTCGTCTTCCTTGTAGTCCAGCTCATGCCAGAGAAGATAACTCAGTTATTAGTCACTGGCATGACATAGTTTTGGGTACAGTAGCTCCAGCATGATGTGCAAAGCCATGTGCAAGTAGCTGTAATCAGTAACTTCCTTATTACTCAATACTCAGCTCTAAATATAAATTTGGCAAGTGATATAAGAGAGTACAAGGGTTGACATTTAATTAGTGGTCTTCCGGTAGCCAGTACATGTGCCAGTGGGATTGGAAGCATTCAGTCCATTCTTCCAATAAATAAAAACTGCAGAAGAAGAAAAAAAAGCCAAGCATTGCATAAATGTATTTAACTGCACAATTTTGGTTGTTGTAAGCTTTTTGAGCTGTTTGGCCATGTTCCCAAGGTTTTTCTCCCTAACATTTGGCCAGTCTCTGTGGCTTTCATCTTCAGAGGACAGGAGTTAGAACTCTGTGTTCTGGTGTAGTGTGTGGGATAGTTGAGTATTTGTAGCTGTGGGATCAGCTTTTTGTCCTTTTCAGGAAGATTGGGTATTATGGTGATCAGGGTGTTTTTTGTTATGGGTGTATTGTGCTGATAAGGGGAGGAGATGGTCTGTCACTGTGATTGATGGAAGTCGTTAGCTAATGGTTCTTGTGGCTGGGTTGTGAGGGGGCCCTCCCCAAGGGGGTGCCCTCCCCAAGGTTGCTAAGCTGTATTCCTGCTGTAGTGATGAGCACACTTTCCTAGTGGGACACAGCTGCTTCTGAGGGAAGAGCTCCTACCCATTCTTCCTCTTTCTCATAGAGATAGAGAGCTAACTTCAAAGCCTTTCTTTGGCCAATCCTAATTGACATTATGTAACCGTGCCCTATCAGTATACTGTCAACTATCTGTAAGCTTTTTAAAGTACATAAAAAGGATTCCTTCTGGGGGCGTTGCCCCAGAGAGGTGTGTGTGGAGGACTTCGCTGGTGGACATCTGTGTGTGACTGACTTCTTTGCTCTCTCTCTAAAACTAATTGCTTTATCCGGTGATCACCTAAACTATCATGTAATTAGGTTCGTTGTCAGCCATGTGTGACCCCTGTGTTGGCACGGGAAGAAGAGACGGAGGCTGCTCCATGTTCTTAACACAACTTGATTTATTACTAAACAAACTCAATACAACAGGTTCAAAAGGGTCCATCAGACTCAACTCAGGCAAAAGGCGATAACTTTTTACTCTAATGTCCGGTGTTTTAAGATCACTCCTCACTGAGGGGCCGGTCCAAACCGATGGGGTGCTCCAATGGGGTGCTCCTCACGGCACAATCAAATCCAGTTCCTCCCCTTTCTCGTCAGCTAAGCATACCTCCAGTGACTCTTTCCCTTCCTCTTTCCCCTGTTCTATTTCTACCAATATGCCCTCCACACAGCTATGGCTCTCCTCTGTCATCTGCTCCACACTG